GGGCTATGGCTCTCTACATCCTCTTGCAGACCATTACATGGGGAAACCTTTTGAATACAAGCGCGCTGATCCACACAGGTGTGCACACGGGTGTTCACTGTTCATAGACATAAACTACACCTTTATTGGCTGCCATTTCCAAGCACATTGTGTGCTGTCGGTCCTACGTGCTGCACAACAACAACATTCAATAGTTTTTGCTGTTTACACTTAGCTAGATTAACGTGATTGTGTTGTGTTTAGTATGTTGCGCTGTTGTTTTTGCTTGTTTTCTCTTTTTTTTCTCTCACTGTCCCTCCTCCCTTCTGTTTTTCTTTTCCTTCATCTTTCTTTCTCCCTCTCCTATCCCTCAGTCATGTCTGTAAATACCATAAATAAATACCATCTTTAAAATTGATTAAGAGACACAGTCTTAATGGAATGAAGAGTTTGCACCATATACTGGGTTTCTTTATAAAAAAAAAAAAATAAAAAATAAAAATGTGTGAAAGTGTACAGACCCAGTCTACAGAATTTTACACAACAGCACATGTATTACTCACCTATTATTGTTGCCCAGATCCAGCAAAGTGAGATCTTGCAGGATCTGACCTGGAGAAAGCGATGGAGAGTGGAAGCCCAAAGTCGAAGTTGAAATTAGTTGAGGGGTGATATCAGCGGCTGAGGGAGCAGATGAGGTCAAGCTGAATGACTGAGGAGGAGCAGCTGGAGCCACGGTGGTCAATATAGAACTGAAGGGTTGTGGGGATATGACTGATGTTGTTGAAATGGGTGTTGTTGAAAGGGATGTTGTAGAAGCCAGAGGTGTAGAAAAGACAGGGCCAGTGAAGTTTAAGGAAGAAGCTGGTGTATAAGTCTTGGAAGGATTAGCTGGGGCTCCTGTTGTAGAGAGGGCATCCAGAAAGAGAGAAGGCGTAGAAAACACAGGAACTGTGGGTAAAGTGTCAAAAAGATCCAAATCTTGACTGGAATCCTGGAAATCAAGGGAATAAAAACACTTCTAACCAACAAGACAATACTTAAAATGACTTTAAATTAATTCACTTAAATACCTGTGTAGATGGCAACGGATTGCTTGGGTTTCCATGTGTTGATTTATTAAGCTCAGTAATAGGTTCATTGAGGCCTGTAAATAAAAACAATTGTGACAGAATTTGCATCAAAATCTATAAATTCTGATACAATTGTTAAATGGGACCCATTATTTTGATATTTAACTCCAAATTTTCATTGTTGGACCACAGTAGCACTGCATAACATACAGTTTAGCTTTGTTAAATTTGTACAGGCTCACGGTACAGGCCAAAGTTCATACACTACCTGAAACAAAATAGTTTCCAACTCACTTATCAACCAACTTCCATGAGTGTTTAGAGCAGTCTGATGCCTGAGTTTTTGGCTCATGTATCAGCACTGTGAAAATACAACTATAGAAGAAGGTACTTTTGGCTGCTCCTTTGTTTCCTAAGGGGTCACACGCTTGTGTTGGATTTGATGCAACCTTCCCATTTATCCAGGCTTGGGACCTGCACTAGAAGTACACTAGCTTGGGACCCTAGTCTCAAATCATGAGTCTTAAGATAAATGTGTTAACCACTATATTATGGATGCACTATAGCAACAATACACAGTAACACGAAAAAAGAAAGAAAAGCGTAATAGGTCCTTTTAACATTCAGTTCCAAAATTAAAAAATAAATCAGTGTGATTAATCCACATCATGCTGAATGTTACCTAAAGACAGCAGCTCTTCATCCAGCAGTGACAGTGCTGTGGAGGGTACGTTAACACTCTGGGACGGTGGGTCAGTGGCAGCTGATCCACACAACAGGTCAGCAGGAAATGACTGCGAAGATGCTGGAGGTTGCTGCTCAGATGCAGAGGAGCTCTGGATGTCCAGACCCACCAGATCAATCAAAATCTCTGATTGATTTGTGCTTCCAGTGCCTATCAGATACAGTATGTAAATGCACTCAAAGCAGTAGTACTGTCAGTCTTCACCAATAAAACTTCCCCTAAAAATAATACTGAGACCAAACCTTGCTTGTAAACGGTACATGCCATTCCAATACGCACAAAGGCCATTCACTTAAAAGTGTTATTCCTTTCTCAGGTTAGACAGGATATCCACTCTTAAGATTATCCTTATGTGTACTTTACACATTATAACATATTTTAAAAAACATGGTAGACGGGATTCTCAGCAAAGTCCTGCTTCAAACGCAATAAGCTTTCAGTGTGGCTACGCTAGTGCTGACTGTGCATTAATCGGTTTTGACAGGCACAACACTAAAGTCAATACCACATACACCCCACTGAGAACATGTCACAAACAACCATGCCAAATGGTAGAATAGTTAGGAACTGTTCTCTCTGATTAGAATGACCTACACTTCAAATTTACCTGCACTGACTGACGTTTGTGTTTGGCGTCCTCCAGTCTCTCCATTCATGGTTTGTCCTTCCACAATCTTCTTATATAAATTAATAACCTGAGAGAGGTCATCATTGGCCTGCAAGATGTCTCCTAACATGTGAATTTCAAAATAAATTAGACCAGGGTGAGATTTAATATAACCTTGAGAAGACAAGTGAAGACACTGACAATTTACAAACTGTGAGCAGAATGATTCTGAGTCACCTGGGTCTGATGGGTGAATCAGACCCAAGAAAACTGAGCAAGACATTTCAGCAGAATAAACAAATCAAATATTTTATTACCCAAACTACTGTCATTATCCTCGGTCTCAGTAGCAAGCTGAACTACCGTTTGCCTGAGTTTGTCACAATCACCATACAGCTCCTGGAAAACAATGAAAAAGAAATCATTATTTAAAAAAGGGACTAAACTACAAAAATAATAACAATAATAATAAAAATAAATAAAATAAGTTTAGAATTTCAAACTAATTCAGAAATTATTCATAGGGGATTATAAATTAAAAAGCCCAGAATTACCTCAAACTGCTTAAAGGTTGTATGGGAAACATTTGGAATTTTCTATTAGTATTTCCAGAAAGGTCAACTAATGATAGATAGATCAATCTTTTCAAAAAGGTCATTTGAATCTTAGCCAGTAAATAACGAACCCTAATAAGCTCCCTGTCTGCGTCTGTGGAGTCTTCTGGGTTGAAATGTGCAAGCATCTCATTAAGTAGTTTGACGCTGTTGTTCACCGCCTCCAGTGTGCTTTTTTGCTTTGTTGCTTTCTGTGTTCTCACCTCATCCTGAAAAAGAAAAACTACATTTGTTAGTATTTGTTGATCAGACTCTTTATTCCTGATGTAAGGAGGTAAAATGTCTCCAAAAGAGAGCAGCCAGAGGTCCGACTTCATTCATACTCAAATATTACAACAAAAACATTTCATCTGACATTGACACACCTCCTTGACCATGTTCTTGATGAGCCTGTTAGCCTCTTGCAGATCTTCTGGCTTTTTGCTCTTCAGCAGTTCTGATAATCTCTGCAGAGAGATAGGAGAACTATTAGATCAACTGCTGTGAACCCAAAGTAAACACCCACACACCTACCTGTAAACCCAATATATTTGTAGCAACCAATGAGCTAGTTAAGCAGCATCATAAATGTACAAAGTTGGTCTTTATTTCTGTGAAATGCCACAATGGAAATCATGATGCAAGAGTGAGAAAGGATTTCGAAAACCCCCCAAAGAGACAGCCATGAGAGATTCTCTTCGTTTGATCTTTTGGAGTGTTTCGATTTTAAGTATGTAGTGAGAAAATCCAATAATCAAAGTTTCCTATTCAAGCATGAAAACGGCATAGAGGTACTGGCAAGAACAGACTGAAAAGCCATCAGCTGGAATCTGTTAGCTGAGCTGCTGAAGACAAACGGCCAGTATTTCAGGGCTTCAGTTGGGATATCGGCCAAAGCTTGTGAAGTTAATGTCATCAGATAGTAAGTGAAGCATAACAGGCCTTGGGAAAAGAAGCTAGCTCACAGCTGTCACAAAGCAAAGATTATTCAAAATCTGTTCTGAAAGCATTAGACTTTTTTCACTGAACTTTATCCATAACTCTGAAGTGTTTTTAAACGGTTTCTCTGACTGCCCAAGGCTACGCTAACTGTGTTCTGCCTGTAGCTTTGTATTTAAGTGCATATATCAGAATGGTTCTCATGTAACTCTGGCAATTTATGGCCACAGATAATCTCAAGTCACGGTTATGCCATACATATTTAATAGTGTTAATTACTGCATTATTCAACGACTCATTTCTTTCACCATTGATCTTCACATCGCACTTTTATTTTGACTAGAAGCTGGAATCAGGAAGTTCTAATTGACAACCAGTGCTTAATTGCCCAATCCATTGGAATAATTAGCCTGTGAGCTTAATCATTTTACCAGTGCTTGCTGTTTTTGCTGTTAATTGCAAAAGAAATGTTAAGTTCAGAACTGCTGCATTTTTGCACACCTGAGTCGCATACAGGTCTTTCTCAGTATAGTTTCTGCAGTGTGGCCATAATATGAGGACCGAGTGGTACTGAAAACCTGCGTAGGCATACTTATTTTCAGCACAGAAAGAAAAGAATATGAATCAATAGGTCAACTGAACTACAAACAAGACCTATAACAACATTAGGATCAGCACAATCTTGTCATTCTTCATCCCTACGCCACACCTTTAAAGTTTCGGGGGTGCATAATGCATAGTTGAGATGCTACTGCGTTGACAAAATGCACCAACATAAATCCAGACATATAAACATCTCTCAGTGTGCAACAAAAGGTGTTTGCAGGGCCACATTTTTTCCATGATGACTCATATAGCCACTGACTCCTAAGCTACCAAATGAGCTCCATCCTGAAATGCACTATTGTACTATTATCTTATTGAGGTATAAGTGATATACCATCTTAAATAATGCCGAATAACCTATAATTAAAAACCTACATCCGTAACAGAGACGGGAGAAGTGAAAACAAGAATTAATTGCAGTTAATGAGAAGCGGCATTCACACAATATCCTAAAATAGTTTCTCTTACTTTGCTCTTCTTCTCATCCTCAAACACAGGATTCTTGGGTCGTGGAGAAGGTGATGGTATTAATGTGGCATCAAGAGGAATTTCTGGGTCAGCTAAAACAATACCTAAAAATAAAAACAGGTAGCTTTGAACTTTGGTAAAGACAGCTTCAGGACTTCATAGCACAATGCACACTGTGATTTTTGGATTTTTACTGTGATCACTTCATAATGTTTAAATTTCACTCAGTATATTTAATCATTTTTGAAGCTGTGCATGTCTCACCCTGTAATTTCAGCATCTGATATGCTTCAGCAATCTTTGTTTCATCTGGCAGAGACACTGTCCAACTATACAGCATCTCTATCACTTTTTTCTTCACTTGTTCTGACACTTTATCTCCCAGGTACTAAAAAAAAGATGTAGACGAACTGCTTAATAAAGGAAAACAACAACTCAAAGTATGATGCTGTCTGCAAATGTAAAACATTTGGTACTTACTTTGGGTGAAACCACCTTAATTAATTCATTCAAAAACTTAAATTTCCCAACTTCGTTGTGAAACCTTCGCCCACAATTCTTCATACAAGCTTCAAGAACCTGCAAAAACAAAAAACAAGCTCAAAAAATATTCTTTAAAAAAACAAAAAAACAAACAAGTATCTTTACTAATATCAGAATGAAAAACACAGTGAAATAAATCCACCACACACCGTTAATGCTTGCATTGCTTCCCATTCCTGTGGTGATTGAATCTTGTATGCCAACAGTCTGACAGATATCTGTGGACTGAAAATATGCCAGAAAGGCAATTCAAACAATGCAATGCAAACTCAATAATGTAAGAAATACAAAGGCTTGTGTGTTTACCACAAGGAGGGGACACACGATTTGATTATGAGTGCAGGGAGAGGCTGGGGTTATTAAATGTACGTGGCCGTACCCTTCTAGCTCCTTATTGATTTGATCACAGAAACTCATAATATACTCCCAGTCTTCCTGCCGGTTTGAAGGGTTAGTGGCTTTGTCTGAAACAAAAAAATATAAAATCTCATGAACATACAACTCTGACAGCTTCTTTGGCGCCTTTGGTTCACCTAAATCCAAGGACAGCCACTGAAGACTACAGATTTGTTTACTACCAAGAATCCAATCAGCCCTCCAGCATCGAGCTCCCTCCATTCCCAGACCACCTTACGAACAATTAGTTGTTCAAAATATTCAGCTTAATGTGAATTCACTCTTACTAAACCGCAAGACACTTTACTGATCCTGTTTATGTTTGTCGTTTTCAGATTGTGTTAAACTTCGGTTAAAGCCTAAAGGTGTTTCAGGAAGCAAACGTATAAGTGCATTACGGAGACCCAGTTTAATACAAAACACTCATATCTTTCTAGGCATACCAACTATAACCACCGGAAACGAATAATAATAATAATTCAAAAAGGGTTAATATTTGTCGTGTATCAACCATCAGTTGACAGCAGCTGACCGTGCTAACCTCTTGTGACAACACAGATGAATTAGCATGGTAAATTCCAAATGCAGTTGTGTCATACGAGTGCAACTAATATTTAGCACAACCAAGTTAACGTAGAGCATACGCGACTACTTCTGTCAGGAATAAATAGCGGGGGGAAAGAGTTTAAATATATACTTACTAAGCCAAGACTCCAATGACTCGCCATAGTCCGCCATATTTGTACAAACAACGCGTGACTTCTGCTGCCTTCACGTGCTTCCGGATAAATGGGACACTGCGCTCCCTGCTTCAAACTGTATGTATTTGTAAAATCTACATTTTCTACCCTGTGATGACTTGAAAACATTTTTTTAGACAGTATAACATTTTAATCTCAGCTTTTTGTGTATTTGTGCGTTTATATGTCTTTTTTTTCACAAAAAGCATGCAGCTGAGATCAGAAATTTATGAATGTCGTAACTTTGATTTTCAATTCATTCTTTTGAACTACGCTCCTTTTGCTGTACATTCACTGCAGTGGAACGACTTTACATTATACACCGTGAATGCCTAAGAAAGAAAAAAAGAACTGGGTGCACAAGTGTGAATTTATTTAAAATTTTTCCTCTATGCAACTTTATACATATTTAGTGTGTGCATTTATACAGGCTTTCTTAAACATTTTAATACGTGGTGCCAGGGGCGATTTCAGCCCATTTTGGGCGATTTCAGCCCATCTTTGGGGGTGCTTTTTGAATCAAAGCACCCCAAAGATTTCTTACTTAATTTTGACAATATCTGCTGTTTGTGTGACACACTACTAAAAATATAAAAAGCATACAGTACTTGGTTGAGACGAAACATTTTGACAACAAAAGTATAAATAACTCCCCCCCCACCCTCCTAAAATGGTTTGTTCCAGCTCCTGGAATATATGGTAAGAGGCATGCTTGTAGCAAAAGAAAGTTCAAAGAATTCATTAAAAGACCAAAATTACCATGCTGAGTGTATATACACTTCTGACCACAACTGTATAACAAAAATAAATGTGTTCAGTATATAGCCAATTATTGGCTATACATACTATTGCATTTAAAATGTAATGACTCGAAAATTCCAATTTTCTATCAGATTGTTCTGTCAGTTATTTTAAAGTTTAGCTTTGAGATGTCAGTTTAAACTTAAAATAAATACTTTTCACAAAAATTTGATTTCTTTATAGACTAAGAAGCTATTACGAGCTACGGCTTTGTGTAATGGCAAGCGTTTGTCTGGTGTTGTTTCCTTGCACTGCATGCCATTGTAAATTCAGTCTGGCTCCCTCTGAGTTTGCAAATAAAACTGCATGAACTATTCAAGGAATCTTGATCTTCAGATATCTTCAAGGACTTTAGTGGCTCCTGCGCAAAAAATCCCTAACATGAATTCCAGTGCTACTGTGTAACAGGTTTTAGACATCTTACATCTTGAGACAGACCAAAAAAAGCACAGTAGGCCAACTTTGTCACCTATACCTCACATTCATCAAGCTTCTAAGGAGGAAATACAGTCCAGCAAGACTCTTTGTCATGACATCTGCTGCAATTGTTTTGTCTTAGGTCCGGTTTAATGTATCTGTTTAGAGAGTCATTGAAGTAATGTCAGAATTTTGTGAAGAGGGGGATGTTTTTATTGGGTTACTCCCAGAAGTTAGAGTGAAGCAGATATTTTCTGAGTCAGTCATACTACTCGTATGAGCAGCTTGATTTCCACTAAGTTGATTTAAAGTAGTCTGTAAACTAACTCTGGCAGCAGGTTTATTCACACTCAGCAGCCTATCAGCTGCAGAGTCCTCTCATCTTATCAGTTATATAAGATGGTGATACTGGTCTATCGACCAGTATCACCAGTTTTAGCCCATCAAAAGTGTTTGGAGAGGTTGTGGTCACCCCCACAGGCAGTCCAGAGAGCACAACCAACAAATACCTCCTCACCCTAACCTTTATTTAACATATATACCAGAAACACTAAATTATTTTCCATTTTCTTTTTGCATCAGTTTTGCTGCAAGAACATTTTTCAGGTTTTTGTTTCTGTTGAATGGTTTTCGTAAGTGTCAGGAGATGACAGGAAAATTATCTACCACTGTGTTGAGAACGAACAGTTCAGAGGTTGTGACTAACAATTTGTCAGACTTTCTGTTTCAAACAGTCATGCCCACTTCACAAGGGGTCTGGTCAGAAATAAAAGTCCACAGAACGTGAACTTCTCTTCAAGCTCTGTGCTGTTACTTTTCTCACCGTCAGCTTTTGCACCTTAAAAACAAGTGCAATGTCACAAAGGTCTCGAAGGAGAGTCTGTCTGTGCCATTATCCCCATAACTGAGCACCTATCATGTCTCATTCTGCTGACCTTTTACCCACTTTTAGTGTAACATGACCAGACAACTCAAACATGGTGTTTTACATGTCATCGTGTGGCATCTGGAAGCCACATTTTGTCTGCCTGTGTGCGTGTGTGTGAGAGAAAGAGAGTGTGTGAATAGCTCAGTGTTTATTTATTGATTATTATGTAAAACGCTTTGACTTGCCATTCATTTATTCATTATTGATGAATTCACTGAATGTGTTTTTTAGAGACTGACAGTCTTGAGCTTTTGTGTGATGTTGCCACGACCCCTACCCGTCTTCCTGTGGAGCCACAGAGTTATGTGCAACTATCAGGCCTGAAAGTCCATAAGCTGGGGAACGGTCTGTGCCAATAACCTTTATCTTGAAAGCTTTTTAACTTTCTGTTCTTGACCATGTTTTTTAATGACTTGGAGATGATTTATTGTAAGTTGTAGAGCAGCTTTTTAAATTTAGTAAAAACCACTTATAAAGATAAAAAAAAGTTGTCTTTTGTTTTATTTATGGTTTCATTGCCTTGCTTTTCTTTCAGACATTTTAACAGTTGATTTTCAGAGAAACAAAATGAGTTTGAAACTGTTTATCAAGGCAAATAATGTAAAAAGAAACATATTGGTTGAAGGATTGTCCCAGGGTTTGTGTCAAAAAGAGTGCTGAACAATCACTTTCCTAGCTGAATCCGCATGCCAGTCAGCATTGTGATTTTCTGAATGACACTCTTCATGTTCTAGCTGGTAGTAGACCCAGGGAACATCAGAATATGCAGGAGCAATTATAAACACCATCTGGTCTGCAAAAACTTTGGGCTCCTTCAAGAGATGCTGGAAAATATTCCTGGGAAAAGACATATGGGACCTTTTGACTATTATATTCAACCATACTCCAGATAAGCAGTATAGATGTGTAGAGGCTTTGTCTGATCTTTGTGATCGTACATATTACTGCTTTACTGACATATTAGACAAACCTAATTGCTTTAGTGGCTTAACACTTGATTAGAATGTGAAAGAGTATAAGCAAACACAACATAACATTTTATCTTGTGATTGCTGCATTGGACAATGCACTGAGGTTTGAGGGCAAGGCTTGAGAAAAGCCCCCAGCCAATGCCGTGATGCTTCTGCTTTTGTTTTTCAATCTGCAATATCTGGCCCTGCAGATTTTTGTGTAGGAACTGCCAACCTGCATGTGTGTGTCATCTTAGTGATACTGATTAGAGTTGTATTTCTTTCATATTTTTATGTCACAGGTCCTTTTACCATGTGGCCATTTGGCGGTGCTAACATCTCAAAGAAGATGTAGAGCCCATTTACTATGCATTGTCACATTTAGCTGTTAAATACACTAGTATTTCCTGGTGTGTGAATGAATTACTCTTTTGAGTAACTACTTTTCAGCACTATACATAGTACTATATATTACTATTATATAGATATAGATATATATAGATATATATAATATATATATATATAGTATATATATATATATATATATATGCTAGTATATGCTATAGCAGTAGCAGTACTATAGTAACAGATAAATATGAAGGCATGCCGGCTCGGACGTCGCCCGGATCAACAAGGTCCGCGTCAGGTGTTGAGGAACCAGGGCACCCTGACGAAAAGTGGGCTACTGGAACAAGAAGGCATCGGTGGGCAAGAGACGAAAACAGGGCGTTGTTGGAATGCTACTACGCAAGTAACCCCGGCGGAAGGGGCTACATGAATAGGATGAGGGACCTATGGATTCTTCGATACCCAACATCCACAATGACGGCGAAACAACTAGTAGCTCAGTGTTCCAACATTCGAAAGAAGGGACTGCTCTCACAGCTAGAGATTGACGAGGTACAACACAAATGCTACGGCAAGGAGGAGTCAGGACGCCAGGTCAGGGGGGAGATATCATCACCCCCACCCGAGATTGGGTACATAGCCCCAAGTGCGATAGGAGAAGGATCGTTGAGTGCGAGAGGAACTGACCTGAAAAATAGGATCATGGCCAAGCTTGAAACCTGATCCCCCGTAGCCGGTTACCAAGATTACGTGAAGTACCCTCAGAAGGTCTGCTAGATGATGTTAATGCAGCACTACGGACAATACCTACAACCACGATTACCGACACTAACAAGCTGATCTACAATACGGCAGCAGTGATCAGTGAGATGCTTGGCTACAAGTTGAACAGCCACAAGGGGCAGTACCCTCCATGGAGAAGGAGGCTAGAGGGCAAGATCAAAGTAGCACGGAGGGAGGTTAGCCAACTAACGGAGTTGCAGAAAGGTGCGACAAAGAAGGTGCATAAGAAATACAGCAAGCTGTCCATACCTGAGGCCTTGGAAACTGCCAAGCAAAGACTCAAGCCTTGGCCAGCCGCTTGAGGAGGTACACCAGAGAGATAGAAGGCAGGAGAATAAACCAGCTGTTCTCCACAGAACCAGCAAAGGTGTACTCTCAGTGGCAAGGGAACAATAATAAGAGAACAGCACCACCAAGGCTGGAGACGGAGCAATACTGGAAGAGCATATGGGAGAAGGACGCAACCCATAACGGCAATGCTCAGTGGCTAGTGGATCTGAGGGCAGACCACAGCGACCTCCCTGAACAGGGTCCAGTAACCATCACAGTGGCAGATATCCAAGAAAGGGTCTCCAGTATGAAGAGTTGGACAGCACCAGGGCCCGACATGGTTCACGCCTACTGGCTAAAGAAGCTGACTGCACTCCACGAGCGTCTGGCAGCACAAATGAACCAGCTGCTAGTTAACGAGAGACACCCGGAATGGCTAACCGAAGGTCGGACGGTCCTGATCCCCAAGGACCCCAAGAAGGGACCGGTCCCCTCCAACTACCGACCAATAACCTGCCTCAGTACTACATGGAAGCTCCTGTCAGGCATCATA